TGTCAAACCTAAGATTGATAGTTGAGGTATTTTTCAGATCCTGCATTTTGACAGACCAGCTGATGGTCCACCTGAACCAGTAACCCATACCAAGAAACTTGCCATCTGGTCTTGTGACCCCCCCACCCACAAACTCACTCAGCATAAGAAGACAGCTTTGATCCCCTTTGATTTCATCACTGACCCAACTAATCAGCATTCTCCATTCCCTAGACCCCTGCCTGCCAAATTATCCTTGAAAAGCCCTAGCCTCTGAGTTTTTGAGGAGGCTGATTTGAATAATAATTACTCCTATCCATTTGCTTGGCTGTCTAGCCTGTGATTATTAAACTCTTTCTCTGCTGCAATATCACTGTCTTCATGAATTGGCTTTATCTGTGCAGTAGACAAGAAGAACCCATCTGGTGGTAACAGGAGGAATGGTAATTCATAAATAGACTAGTTATACCAGGGACAGAAAACCAGCTTTGGATCATCTCAATCTATGATTAGATCAAGGTAATATGGGGTTACTAATCCCCTAGCTTCCTTCCAGAAGCAAATGTAAATCCAACTCAGATGAAGATAATATTATTCCTAGCTTAAAATTACTTTTATAATTTTCTCATATGCAATATCTGGAGCTCAAAGACAAATAACAAAGTATGAGAAGACAAAATAATGTGATACAAAATAATGAAAAAAAGTTATTTTTCAAAGAAAAATAATAGACAATAGAAAGAGATATACAGGGAGTGCAGATAATAGAGTTATCAGATACAGGCTTTACAGTAACTGTGAAAAATATATGCAAGGAAATAAAAAGCAAGACTATTTCAACAGAGAACTGGGAACTATAAAAAAACTTATTTGAAATTCTAGAGCTGAAAAGATAATATGAATTTAGAATTCAATGGATAAAACTTGACAGAGATTAGATATAAAGACAGAAAATATCCAGAAAAAAAAGAGAGGTAAAGAAATGGAAAATATAGAAAATAATATTTTAAAAATTGAACACAGTGAAGAAGTCTATATACATGTAATTGAATTCCCTGAAAAAGAGGCAGGAGAAAGTGTGGGGCAGAAACAATATTTCTAGAGATAATAACGGGGAATTTTAAAAAGCTGATAAAAGGTATAAGACCACAGATTTTAAAAACTTTACAACCCCAGTCAATCAAAGTACAAAGAAAACACATCTAGGCACATCATAGTAAAACTATAGAAAATTAAAGACAAAATTATAATTTTAGAAACAATCAGAAAAAAAGAAAAACTACTTTCAAATGACTAAGATTAGCAACTGTTTTCTCAACAAACACAGCGAAACCCATAACATAAGGAAATAATATATTTGAATTGCTGGGAGGAAGAAAGCAAGTAAAAAGAAGACAAGTACTGTCAATCTGAAATTCTATAACCAGAGGAGATATGCTTCATAAACGACGGTGAATGCAGATTTAATGCACCCTCTATTAAAATCTCAACTGGCTTTTCCCCCCCTCAATTGTAATAGCAGTACCAATGACTTTGCCACTGATGGAAATCACAAATATTTTCGATCTGTATTAGTCAGAGTTCTCCAGAGAAACAGAAACAGTAGTATATATGGATTATAGGGGCTGAGATGTCTTGAGATTCGCAGCTGGAAAGCTGGAGACCCAGGAAGGCCAATGGCATAGTTCTAGTTTAAGTATAAAGGCCTGAGAACCAGGAGGGCCAATTTTATAAGTTCCAGTCTGAGTACAAGACAGAACAAAGAGAGAAGCATGATCATTACAGAACATACCAAGCATTCTTTACCAATGGCTTGGAAAAGGAACAGAAAAAAAGAACAACTTACCAAGCACTTTGTCTAGGTTCTCTCATTCAATCCTCACATATCCTGAACAGTGGGCCTGTCTTTCCTACCCAAGGCAGAGATCAGTGGATTATGGCCCAATAAGGCTATTATTAAAAAATGAAGATGAAATACTTTCAGATCATCAAACATTAGGGGAAAATAGAAATACTTATTTAATGCACGATGATTTTAGAACAAAATGATTTGGCTTACTAGAAAATGATTGTATTCCCATTATTTTCATTATTATTGTTAATCAAAAAAGAGCTTGCTCAATGAATTTGGTCCTGAAGCTTTCATGTCATATTCTCTTATGACTTGTTTTGGTATTAGACTCCTGTTATCATTTTAAAGCAATTTTATAGTCTCCTGAAACAGATTGGTAAAAACTGGGATTAACTACAGTATATTTGGTTGTTTCTGTCCGGGTTACTATTGTGAACACTTTATCAGGTAGTTGTCTTTTAAAAATCGTATAGTTAAAGGGTGAAAAGTCGCTTATAGTTGTCTGGACTCTCTGATCCAAGCTCTTTTTTGTTGGGGAAAAGTATTGAATGTAGCACAGTAATACATAAAAATAAAATTAGCAATTGTTCACAATAGCTACCTCTTTCATTTTTATTTTTTCCTTCAATATTAAAAAAAAAATAGACAGGGGGATCTCTCTATGTTGCCCAGGTTGGTGTCAAACTCTTAGGCTTAAGGGATCTGCCTGCCTTGGCCTGCTCAAAGTGCAGGTATGAGCCACTGCTCCCAGTCAATAATAGCTTACTTTTTCTAGTGCTTACTAATGTATCCAGCTCTCTTTTTGTGCTTTGTATTTTCTCATTTAACTCTCATAAATACTTATGAAGTAGGTGGTATTGTTATTTCCACTTCACAGATGAGGAAACCAAATCAAAGAGGAATCAAGTAATGTATTCAATTATTTTAATAATTATTCAAGGTCACATAGCTAGTAAGTTGCAGAGCCAAGAATACAAACACACAGTGTGACTCCACAGTCTGCAGGTTTTTCCAGCACACTGTACTGCCTCGCAAGTATTTATAGCTGGAGTCAGAGATCTGGGATGAATTCTAGGTAGTTCCATTTTCTAGTTCTATGAGCTTAGGCAAACCATCAAATTTCTCTTTGCCTTGGTTTCATAATCATAAAACAGAGATAATATCTGCTCTGTCTTATAGGTTTTTTGTGGGTATCGAATTGTAGAAGTACTTTGTAAAGCATTACACAACCAACTGGCTCACTGGACTGAGCTGAGATTCTCCTGCTCCCTGTCTCAAAGAAACGCAGCCAGTAGAGCCATCACCTCTTCCCCTACAAGTATTCATTTGCCGCCACTGAATTACAGTGAGACTGAAGAACTTTCTGCGGAAAAGGCTTGAACTCTGTTCACACATGGGATGCAACACTCACAGGCATGGCTGATAGATCAGAGCATATAGAATCCTGATTACAGGGGGTTAATGGCAATCCCTACCCCTTGAAGATGATTTACCCTGAAAAAGAAAGGAGTGTGACATGGTGGGCTGTGCTCAGGAGCAGCAGTCAATATCACTGATATTGATGAATTCTAGTCCTGTGTTACCAGAAACTCCTCCAAACCAACCACTATGGAGGTCTGTGGGCATCCTGGGACCAAGAAGGGCTCAGAGTGTACATTGATAAATCAGCTTCACTGAACTCTTCGACACTTTGGACTCAGTCTCCCTATTAGGGTGAATGTGACCTTACAACATTTTTTGGCAGGAGCAAATTAGCACTGAGAGGCTGCTGAGGAGAACCCTCTTCTCACCACCAGTGGAGGCATAGATGGAGCTTGCAATAGCTGGTTCAGCCAGCCTTGAAAACACAGACTACTTCATGGGCTTAAAAGAAATGTCCCTTTGGGAATTCTCAAAACACTCTAGGGACAGACTCTGTAAGAGCCTGCTATGTTTATATGAGCAGATGGAACCACAGAACTTCAAGCTTTTTATTTCTAATTTTTATTCACAGGCTGCGGAAATGTGAACATTCAGGTTATGCTGTTCCAAATTATTTTTATTATTTTATTGTGGGAAAAGAGAATTCAGTTAACCAGGATCAAGCAACAAAATCCACTTCCTTGTGGGATCATCTCTCTGGGCTGGGAAGAGGGATGGTGACTTTTCAAGGTAGGGATCACTCCACGAAGGAAAACACCCTTTCTTCATTTTCACAAGTAACACATTTTCCAAGAGAATATTTTTTGGAAGTTGAAGGTGGAGTTTAAATGGAAAGCCCCACCCACTGTTGCTGGAAGCAACTTCTCCTCTTCATCCTTTCTTTGACTTATGATGCTTTCCTGGATCTGATTATTTAGTGTGGGCAAAGGCTGGAGGTGAGAAGCCAAAAGATAAGATTTCAATGTAAGAACCCAAGTCATTTTGCATTTTAAGTGCCATATGTAAGCTTTTTCAGGGACACAAACTCTAGTTGCTCTTATTCTGGAGCAAGCTCAGACCTGCCAGGCCTTAGCCTGCCTTTCTTTGCCAGTTTTAAAATCCATGTAGTAAGTGAGTGTGTGTGTCGTGAGTCTTGGTGTGTAAGAGCATGTGTGTGCACGTGTGTGGGGGGGGGAGTGAGGGGCTGTTGGCTCATCCTAAACTTTTTACTAGCATCTTAGGCTTCTGCAAATAGAAGGTCCTCTACATCAGGGGTCCCAAACTCCTGGGCCACAGACCAGTATCCACTTGTGGCCTGTTAGAAACCAGTCTGCACAAGAGGTGAGTGAGTGGAGCTTCATCTGTGTTTACAGCCACTCCCCATCCCTTGCACTTCCACCTGAGCTCTGCCTCCTGTCATGTCAGTGGCTGCATTAGATTCTCATAGGAGCACAAACCCTATTGCGAACTGTGCATGGGAGGGATGTAGGTTGCATGCTCCTTACGAGAATCTAATGCCTAATGATCTGTCACTGCCTCCCATCACCTCCAGATGAGGCTGTCTAGCGTAGATAAACAAGCTCAGTGCTCCCAGTGACTCTACATTATGATGATTTGTATAATTATTTCACTGTATATTACAATGTAATAATAATAGAAATAAAGTGCCCTATAAATGCAATGTGCTTGAATCGTCCTGAAAACTAACCCCCGACCCCTGTTTGTGGAAAAAATGTCTTCCATGTAACTGGTTCTTGTTGCCAAAAAGGTTGAGGACTGCTGCTCTCCATCGCTCCTACCAGGAACGAAAGACACTTTTCTGCAGGTAAGCTTTCAGTCTTCCATCCTTCATCCCTTCCAGAGCTTTCTTCCCATTATGTGACCCCTAAATGAACTGAGCAGCCAATTGCTAAATCCCGAAGTGGTCAGCATCATGCTATAACCTGACCTCACCCTGTTGAATGCATCATTAACTCCGTGTTCAAGGAGAAAGCAATGCTTTCCATTAAAGAAGGAATTTGAGAATCTCTGTGGCTTATAATGAGTTGATTAATAGCATATAGAATCACAATTTTACCTATAGGAGAGTCTAAATTCAGAGCTTTGTAGAGCATTATCTGTATCTATAGCAGTCTAAATTCATTTGCTCACAGCAAAGTCTAAATTCATTCTAAACACCTTTAAAGTGTTTATTCTGAACACTTTAAAAGTGTTTAGAATCCTTCTCCCTTCTAACATCCCCTCTGCATTAAGTTAGGCTAAGAGATGCTGTAGCAGCAAAGAATACCTTAATGTCACTCAGCAGCGTATTACAACAAAAGTTAGTTCTCATGTATTTTACATATGGAATACATGTTAGTATGGGGACTCTCCTCATCATGGATACTCAGGGACAGGCTTTAGGAAATGCTCCATCCTGTAATGATTATAGCATCCTATAATGCTGCCATCTCAATATGGCAGGGGATGAGAGGGTGTGGACAACTGTGTGCTGGCTCTTAAATGTTTCCTCCAAGCATGGCACGTGTTTCTTTCACTTATACTTCAATTGGTCTAAACAGCCACACGGGACAGTGAAGTGCAATTTTTCTGTGTTCACAGAAGTGGAAGACTATAAATGCGATGGAACAACTGCAATGTCTATCATACCTTTAAGTGGATATCCAGCCTAGAATATCTTTAGGTTTAAAAGTATTCCTGCGGTGATATTAACCCACCAAATGCAGATTTCAAATCATCCTGAACACTTCTCACATCGAATATCTTACTATTTGTTTATTCAACAAGCTGCTACAGTGTGCTGAGCCGTGTGAGCAAAAGAGAGGCCCATAATATCTGTTCCTTTGCCCTCCCATGATCTTAGCCCAGGAGAGAAAGAGAGCGAGAAGACCAAGTGCCACAAAAGAAGTTCAAATTGCTACACTGGTTACAGGTGACAGAAATTCCCTCTAGCTTTTGGGAATGGCTTCAAGGAATTGGCCTTGAAGTACTGCTAAAAAATTTTAATGTAAGTCTCAATCTCTCTTTCTAAATTGGTGTGTGTAAAATTATTTTATTCTTTTTTTGCAAATACAAAATCGCTTAAAGATGAACGCAAAAGCCTGTCAAGCCTGTAATCTTATTCCTTCAAAAAGGTGTGTGTGTGTGCATTACACATATGTACACACACATATATATCCTTATATATATCATTATGTATACATATATGCATATATGTATACTTATGCATACATGTACATGTAATCTGCTTCTGACAGTTAGCAACATATTCCATGTTTCTATGCTAATGCGATAAAGGGTGGGTAGCGTTTGGCTGATGGTGAGAACATTTCAGATCCGGTTGAACAGAGGAATGGAGGTGAAGATGAACCGCTCAGTTTGTCTGGCACCACGGTGTGTGGAAGTGTGAGAGAAAGCTGGGAAGGTGAATGGATTGAATGTGCACTGCAGGCTGGGGAATTTCAACAATTTTCAGTGGACAATAGTGAAACTAAAGATTTATTTAAATTTACAATAATTTCTCTAAAAGCCTTGCATTTTGTATAAAACTTGGAAAATACAGATGAGCTCTAGAGAAGGAAAGCTCCCATGATCTCACCACTCAAAGATAATCTTGTTAACATCTCAGCATTTATATTTCTAAATCATTTCGACACTTGTGCCCATTTTATCTTTTACAAAAGTGGGATCCTACTGCATATGCCATCTGTAACCTGATTTTTTTAAATCTAAAATTTTATAAAAGTTTTTTAAAGAATATAAATATAAATTATTTTGAGTGGTGGAATAGCATTCTATTACATGACTTTTACCCATAGAAATAACCAATTAAGGATAACACAAAAGGAAAAAGCAATTTAATTCTCCTCCTTAAGTACATTTCCTTTACCTGGTTTTGAAATTAAAAATTGATTCATGAACATTTAATGAACACTAATTTCACTAACATATACATTCTGTAAACCCCTCCAACCCACACAGCACATCCAGCAAATTGGATGCGTGGAAGGGTCTGCAAAAGTAGAACAAAAATGCAATGGGTGGTGGGGAAAGGAGGGAGGAACTTTCTTTATCAGAAACCAAAAATGATTTGAGGGCTGAGGAATAATATGATCAGATGTGTGCATTTGGAAGAATCTCCTAAATGAGGGAGAGGGATTTTAAAGAGGAAGGAGACTAGAAGAGAGTCTGTAAGATGGACAAGATAGGGATCATTTTCCTCCTTGGACAGAATGAGGCAGGTGGCACAGAGAAAGTAAGTGGCCTGTTCAAAGTAGCAGGATACGGCTGCTCGAGGGATGAGACTACGATATTCTCATCGTCAGACCCAGAACTCTGTCCTGTGCTGGCCTCATCACAGATTACAGAATCTGTAATTCCCTGACTTTCTGTGTCCAGATGGATGGTCATGGCATCACTTTATGGGATTTTACTCTTACACTGGGAACACGTGCAGAGCAGATTGGTGTTTAATAATGCCATTGGATGCAGGCCATGTCTCACAGTCTGTGGCCATTGCCTGAATAAAAATGAGAAATATTTGGCAAAGCTCTCTGGGCAAATAGCCTGCAAGACAATTTGACCTTGTACGTCATTAGATTTGTGAACCAGTCTAATGACATAGGAGTAATTATACTACTTGACTCACCCCAATACTTTCCACCACCAAAAGTGTGAGCTTTTTTCTCACACTAACCAATTCTCCAATTCTCGGTGGACACCAAGTGGATAGCTACAACTTAATTCAAATTTGACACTATTTACCACACTACCTGACACAGATAGCATCTGATCCTATGGGTTAAGGGTTTGGACTCACAAGACTGCTCCCATTTCAGACACCAACCACACATCCCAGTCATCACCTGTGCTTCTGACCAAACATATAAATCGGAGGTTCCTGTGACACTGTCTTCTGGTTTGAGCATATGCTAGAATGGCTCTCAGAACTCAAGAAAATAATTTACTTATTAGATTACCAGTTTACTATAAAAGGATACAACTCAGGAACAGCTAAATGGAAGAGATGCATTGGGCAAGGTATGGGGAAAGGAGCACAGAACCTCCATGGACCTGCACGTGTTCTCTGGGGCATCCCCTCCCAGGACCGGCACTTGCTCAACCCAGAAGCTCTTCAAATCTCTTCCTTTAGGGTTTTTGTGGAGGTTTCATTACATAGGCATGATATTAAATCATGGGCCATTGATCATTGACTCAGCCTTCAGTCTCCCTCCTCTTCCTGGAGGTGGGACGGGGTGGGTGGAGTGAGTAGGCTGAAAGCTACAATCCTCTCATCTCAAGGTTGGTTCCCTGGCAAACAGCCCCCATCCCTAGGCTATCCAGGAACCCCCAGCTGTCAGTCATGCATTAGCATAAAAAAGACACTATCACTGCTGAGATTCCAAGGGTTTTAAAAGTTGCCAAGAAAGGGAGAGGGTTAGGTCACACCAGCTACATAAAATTCACTATTACAAATGCTTACTAAACTCCTGCCCTGTGCCAGGTTCTGAGGGGAATTCTGAGATGGATAAAACTCAGTTCTGGTACCCAGGGAGTTCACAGCCTGGTGAAGAAGACACAACCAGAGTACAGGGAAGGATCACCTGGGTGCCATCAAAGAAGAGCCAGCAGCAGTCCTGGGAGCACAGGAGAGGGAAGATTAGCACTGTCCAGGAATCTGAAAACCTCCTTGTAGGTGTAGAGAATGGATTTGGATAAGAGGAAAGGGAGGGTCCTATTTTAAGAGTACAGTAGTCCCCTCTATCTGTGGTTTCACGTCTTCTGATTTCAATTACTGACGTCAACAGTGGTTTGAAAATAATTACATATAAAAAATTCCAGAAATAAACAATTCATAAATTTAAATTGCATGCTGCTCTACATAGCGTGATAAAGTCTTGTGCCATGCCTGCTCTGTCCTGCCTGGGACGTGAGTCCTCCCTTTGTCCAGTGCATCTGACTATCACAGTACAGCAGCACTTATGTTAAAGTTATCCTTATTTTACTTAGTAATGGCCCCACAGCACAAGAGTAGTGATACTGGCATATTATTATAATTGTTCTATTTTATTATTAGTTATTCTTGTTAATCTCTTTCTCTGTTTAAGCTTCATCATAGATACATACATATAGGAAAAGACATCGGATACATGGGGTTAGGTCCTATCTGCAGTTTCAGGCATTTGCTGGGTGTGATCCACTGAGCAACGGTCTTAGAACGTGTTTCCCATGGATAAGGGGGTCTACTGTATTGACTCTGACAAATGCCTGAGAACGGGATGTTATTTCATTCATGTCAGAACCCTTTTCCTGTCTTCCATTCTTTCTTCCTTTTTTTTTTTTTTTTAATGAATGGGAGGTTCTTACGTTGCCCAGGTTGGCCTTGAACACGTAGCCTTTCCTCTTCAAGTGCCAGGACAACTGGCCTGAGCTACCGTGGCTCCCTCTTTCTTCCTTTTAAAAACATTCTCCTTCAGAAAAAAACAAAACAAAACAAAACAAAAAAACGCAACCCTGGATATATAAGAGGCAGGGGGCAGGGTGACACAGGGGAAATGAATCCCAATCCTTTACTTGGATCTACTCAGAAGACTCTGTAACTACCATTTCCCCAACATGTACTATGCCATATATTTATTTGAATACTCATGTCCTTGTGACTCAAAATTGACGCTCTACAGGCTGTTGGAGGTACAGGATCCTGACTCTTGGGAGGCAGTCGCCGTTCGGAACTGGCCTTCTCTTGTGGTTCCTTTTTCTGCAATTGTACAGAAGGCTTGGCTTAGAAAGTTGAGACCCTGGCCCTTCTTCTCCCCTCCCCATACC